TGGGCCTCGGCCTTCCTCCCCTCCGCCTGTTGGGCCCGTGGTGTCCGTCCCCACCGGCCCTCCCAGCGGGCCCTCCCCTGTCAGGACGGCGGCCTGGTCCCCGTCCCCCTGGATCGCGGGGGTGGTCGCTCTGTGCAGCTCCTCCCTGGATTCCCTGGCCTCGCTTGCGATGTTCATCCCCGCCAGCCTGGCCTTTCTCACGCAGTGCATCAGTCGGCGACCTTTGTGCAGCTGATGGAGGGGTCGGCCCTTTGGGATCTTAAGGCCTTTCCCGTTGTGCACGGGATGGTGGACCTTGGAGCCCCGTGCCGCTTCCGAGTGGTTCAGCCTTCGCAGTCGCGGCCGCTCCCCTGGGCCCCCCCCCATCCACCAGGCAGGTTTGCGAAGTTCCTCGGCAGCTCAGCCCACCTTGCTCACACGCGCCGTTGGGACGGCCCTGGGCTTGGCGCCCCACTGGCGACTCGCCCATCGTCCACCTCGCCTGGACGCTTACTTGGCATGATGAACATGCAGTCATCGGCGCACTCGCCCTTGCGCCGCTTGAGTGGGCTTTGTCTCACGGCACACCCCCCTAATTCCCGGGCGTTCTGCTAGGCTGCAAGTGCCTGAGCTTCCCTGGGCGCCCTCAGTCCGCCAGCTTTCCCGCGCAGCCCCGCAGCTGCTTGGTGAGTGGGCCGGCCGACATGCGGCGCGTTTAGTAGCTAATTCTTTACGCTTCGCGTATCCCCACCAGCCCATCTCACAACAACAACTCATGCGAAGCATGGCGACAGTCGTGTTTTTCAGGCGTGTGTCCGGGCCCCGCATATCTCCCCTGTTCCTCCTTCCTCCCGCCTCCTTGTACATCCTCCTTGTGGGGGGAGCGGGAGAAGGACGAGGCGGAGGAGGAGGGAGAGAAAGCGCTCCTCGTGATTTGAGTCGTTTGGGGTTTCTCGTCCTGGTGTGAGTCGTTCGGGCCCTTCTTCCTGGTGTGAGTCGTTCGGGCTCTTCGTGGTGTGAGTCGTTCGGGCTCTTCGTCCTGGTGTGAGTCGTTCGGGCTTCTCGTGGTGTGAGTTGTTCGGGCCCCTCATCCTGGTGTGAGTCGTTCGGGCCCCTCCTCCTGGTGTGACTCGTTCGGGCTCCTCGTGGTGTGAGTCGTTCGGGGCCCGCGTCGTGGTGTGAGTCGTTCGGGCTCCTCGTGGTGTGAGTCGTTCGGGCGCCTCGTCCTGGTGTGAGTCGTTCGGGCCCCTCCTTGTGGTGTGAGTCGTTCGGGCTCTTCGTGGTGTGAGTCGTTCGGGCCCCTCGTCCTGGTGTGAGTCGTTCGGGCTCCTCGTGGGGCCTCTTGGGGGCCTCTTGGAGCCTCTTGGGGCCTCTTGGGGGCCTCTTGGGGGCCTCTTGGGGGCCTCTTGGGGGCCTCCTGGGGCCTCTGGGGGCCTCTTGGGGGCCTCTTGGGGGCCTCTTGGGGCCTCTTGGGGGCCTCTTGGGGGCCTCTTGGAGGCCTCTTGGGAGGCTCCTGGGGGCCTCTTGGGGCCATCTTGGGGCCTCTTGCGACCTCCTCAGAAGCGCAAAGAAGCGCTGCCCCCTGAGAAGGACAAAATGAGCCCAAAACCTTCGTAAAATCAATGATTTTGCTATGAAGGAAGATGAGCGCGGCCCCCTCGGGAGGCCAAAATGGGGCCAAAACCCTAGTAAAAACAAGGATTTTGGCTTCACAGAAGAGGAGAGGGTTTTTTCTGGGCCCCCCCGACGGGGCCAGAATCCTCGTGACGGTCGTCGTTTTGTGGCCCTCCCAGGAGTCGAAGAAGACCCCTCCAACCACCCGCGGGACGCCCTCTCCAGGCCCAGGGGGAGGGGGTAGGGGGAGGGGTAAACCCCTCCCCGAAGGGGAAGAAGGGGGGTTGAGGACAGAGGGGGCTCTCTAAACCACTCACGCCCTAAAGGGCTGGTGGGATTCGGCCGCTTCCGTGTCCCGGAACGCTTCTGACTCCGCTTGCTTTCTCGCTGGCGGACGCGACCGAAAAAAATATCTTCACCAGCCAATCCAGGAATTGTGCCCAGGGGAGCTGCCCCTCTCAGGAGAGCGTGTCGTCACTTGGAGAGCTCGGAAAGCCTCTGTGGGCCAGAGGCTTGGATGCCTCTCGGAGTATCCTGGGATGTCTCTTGGGATGTATCTTGGGGCATCTTGAGGGCCTCCTGGCGGCTCTTGAGGGGCCTTATGGGGCGCCTCAGGGGCCCCTTGGAGGCCTCTTGGGACGTCTTGGGAGCCCCGTGGCGGTCTTGAGAGCCTCTTGGGGCGTTTTGGGTGCCTCATGCGTTTGGGGGCCTCTTGGGAACCTCGTGGGGGAGTGGGGATCCCTTGAGCCGACTTGGGGTTTCGTGGGGTCCTCGTGGGCTGTCCTGGAGCTATGTTAGAAGCATCTTGGGCCATCCTGAGCGGTCGCAAACCCAACATGCGAAAACATCAGCATCCCTCAACAACCTGCGGACACGCAGTGGTTTTGCCTCCTCAGGCTCTCCTGGAGGGCCTCGTGCAGCCCTCTGGGGCCGTCTTGGAGGCCTCTTGGGCTGCCTTGAGGCTGTCTCGGGAGCCTCTTGAGCGGTCTGGGGCCATTTTGGTGTCGTCTTGCCGTCCGGAGGCAGAACAACTAGGCCAGAGCAAACTCAGGCGGGTCGATTTCAGACCGACGCGCGCTACGAGGGGAGGTGGGTTGGCCTTAGAAAGACTAAGAAACCTTCCAGTCAGCGGAGGCGCATTCTAACATGCCCACTCCGTTCAGGCACGGTGGCGGACACATACGTGTTTATCTATGTATAATGTGATTCCACATGTGTTTGTGTGTGTGTGCGCGCGAAATCGGGACCTCTTGGGTGCTTCTTGAGGGGACGTCTTTGATGTTCTCAAAGGCCTCTTTCTAAATGCTAGCCTATGCAGTGGAGGCATGGGACACTGGAGGTCGTCGGGCAGCGTCGTGGCTCCTCGATTTCTTTTTTTACCCCCCAGGGCCTCGCTGGAGAACTTCTTGGGCGCCCGTTGCGGCCTTGTTAGGAAGCGGACTCCTCTGGAGGTTGCCGGGCCGTTCCTGGGGGCATCCGGCACCCGTCTCGGGGACGAGCCTCGGGCCGTCTCGAGGCGAAGGAGAGCGCGGGGGCACAGAGCCTCGGTCTCGCCCCCGGGCGCGAAGATGGTCGCGCTTCGCGCCCCAAGGCCCGGGCTGAGGCAGCTGCCCTGCTCCGAGGCTGCCTCGCGGGGGCGCGAGGAGGACCGCGCGGCGCGCATCGCGGTGCGCGGTGCGCGAAGTTGGGCGGCCTGCACAGCAAAGCGAGGGGCGCGATGGTGACCCTGGGCCTGTGGCGAGCGGGGAGGTCGCTACCTGAGAACTGCACACCTGCCCGAGCGCGCCCCGGCGCGACGTGGGCATGGCGACGGGCCCCCTGTGCTACGGCGAGCGTCCCGCTGGGAACCCGCGGGTCTCCCATGACCCCGCACGCGCACGACCACGGCGGTGTCGGAGTGGTGGTATTCGTATGGCCCCGCCACCGGTGTTTGACTCGGGAAGGGTTTGGCAGAGTACGTTCCCTGTGGCCCTGCCGCAGGCAGTGGCAGGACTGGAACGGCGCGGGCTGAGTCGGTTTCACAATGCGGATTGGACCTCAAAGTAAGCATCGGCCGTGCACCCTGGCAACACATAGCTGAGTTCTTGAGGCGAAAACCTCCTGACAGCGGATAGACGTCTCAAACTCAGTTGACACTGGCAAGCTCTGTCGTAAAGCAAATGGGCAAGTCTCAAGTGATAGGTGGGTTTTGAAAGCGAATTCCTGCGCCTCAGTCTGACCAATGGGACTTTCAAGCCCAGACATCGAAATTCACGCGCCCCCGATCCGTGTGAATGCTAGAAACCTCAAACATGGCAGTATTATGCCCGTTCGTCTAACACATGTCATGGGCGAGCGCCAGATGTGGAAGGCCAGCTCCCCTCAATCACTGAAGCTGCCAGCAAGAGCAGTGAGGAAATCCCAATCAGAGCCCGATGATGAAAGCCATTCATAATTCATCAGGTGCAGCTCTCGACATTCAGGCTTTGTGTGAGTAAGATGCCTCAGAGAGTTGTCCGGGCCGCAGTGCCCGAAATATCAATAGACGCACGGACTTTTATCAGGGTGCGTATCGGCTTTCAGACATACACCTCGAAAGTGTAAACGAATGTGCTCAACTGGCGGAGCGAGGGGTTCCGCTCCCGAGAATCCACTTGAGGCCGCACGCGTGTTGGCCGAGACGAGGCGAGCAGCCGTCGCTGCGTTTGTCTTCTCCCCATCCTTTCGGCGTGGAGTGTGTGTGTGTGTGTGTGCGTGTGTGTGTGTGTGTGGGGGGGGCCAGCGGGGCTTGCCCCTGGATGACCCGCGGCGCCGTGGGGCTTGGAGGAGTCCCGTGGTCTGAGAGCCCGGGTAGGCCCAGACCGACAACGTCATTATTGAACAATTGAATTCTGAAGTTTCTCACAGTTTTCGTTTTCCTGATGCCCTCGCCAAGCGCTGCGACAATAACAGAAACGACGTGATGAAACACCGGCCCAAGGGGAAATGGTGGGGACTTCCAGGGACAGCGTATTGAACAAATCGCTAGGCCCAGCGGGGGCGATGGCTCTAGGTTGTGGTTCGATCGTGATCCTTCATACCTCGTTGCAGCGATAGGTCTCTGTTGCCTGCACCTGCTCAAACTCAGAATTTGACCTCAATCCAATCCGCGTGTGGGGGGGCTATGGCTCTACACTGCGTACTTGAGAACCCTTGGAACCTTCAGGCACCAAGGGGTTCTTTCTAATGCTCACGGGAACACATGACAACAAATATCTTGATCACAGTGCGTAGAAGATGTTCGGAATTGTATGGCCACTGCCTTGATGCACGGGAACCTTGTACACAATGCAAGTGCTTGCGCTTGTCGATCCCTGTTAGGCTGAGTTTGGTTCCGGGTTCGATTCATCACTGAGGTCATGATTGTGCAAAATTAAGGATTTGGGAAAGGAAATGCGACCACAATAACCAACAAGGCAGTGACATTGCGCTGTCGCCATCCTCCAGTGTGTTTTTGTGACCTGCACAATCCGCACTAATCAGTTCGGCTCATTTGTTCTACATTGGAATCTTTCACATCCCGTGCTTGCAAGCATCTCTCATACCGTCGCCGCTGGCGTCCTTGCAATGGAAATTGCCCAAGGCGTGCAGGAGGGCCTCGCATCTCCTCTCCTTATGGACAGTGGCGCAGCCCACGCCGAGTATAGAGACGAGGAGGATACGTCGACGGCGTCATGGGACAGGGTGACGATGCAACCTGATGGTGTCGCGCAGCTGGCGCTTGAGACTGGACGCGCGCGCAATCATGGTGCCTCCGATATCGCACGGCGCCACGCCGCCATGCCACGCCCCTCGGTGACGATGACTGTGCAGGAGTTCAATGACGCCCACGCGGATTTTACAGCCCGGTTGCGCGACCTTGAGAACCACGGTAAGGTGGCAGCGGGTATTGTCGTTTTCTTTCTGTGCGTGTTCCTTATCTTGCATACGATCTCTTTCCGCCACATGTGGGAAACTGATCTGCAGATCGGCGCGGAGGATCGAATCTTGGGCAGCACGAACGACCTGATCAGAGGTGCGAGCGACAGATTCGTGAGCAAATACGCCTTCAACTCGCTCAGAGACCAGATGGACAAACTCGCTGAGCGCGTGGCGCACATGGAGGACCAGTTCGGGAACACCAGGGACAAGTTCGTGACCAAGGACAGCTCATACAAGATGGAGAGCATCCTCAAGGATAAGATTTCGGGCTTGCGTTTGGAACTGTCCGACGTCAGCGTTCGGCTCGAGGAGATGTCTCCCAAGTCGGAGGTCCAGGTGTTGCGCCAAGACTTGAGCGTATTCAAGCAAGCCCAGGCAGAGCAACACGAGGTTTTGCAACACAAGCTTTTGCAACAGGAGGCGAGCGTCAAGGCTCTGTCGAGTCGGGTCGACGGCGTTGCCACCGCCACCAACAAGGCGCTCGCCAGGGCGGCAGCGGTTGACGAGGCCACGGCTGGCTGCGCGTGCGTGAAAGAGAAACGCCACGAGTGCCCGAAGCGGACCCAGGATCGCAGGCCTAGAGGTTGACACCAACACCAAGATCGGCGGCGTGCCTCCAACGAGGGAAGCAGATACCGGTCTCGGAGATGGTGGTAATATTCTGGCTTCCAAGGTGGCCGAAAACATTACCACCAACACCGAAATCTAGGATCACCTCCCCCCTGTGGAGGCAGCCCCCTGTCTTGGTGTTGGTGCCTACTTCCAGGCCTCCAACAGGAGTGCACCCTGTGGCACTGGTACAATCCAGACAACTTCGACCCGTTCTGCGGCGGCGGCAGGGAGGACGCGGCCGACGGGGTCTGCATGCGGGACTCCACGAATAGCAATGTTTGGGTCTCGGAGATGAAAGGACCTGCGCGGCTCCGAACGGGGATGCCACGGTGCCCATTTGGGCATGAGGAGGAGGCGGAGGCGGAGGAGGAGGAGGCGGAGGAGGAGGAGGAGGAGGACCTCCCTGAGGAGGAGGACAAGGAGGCGGGGGTGGAGGGAGGAGCCCTTCTCTCCTGTCGGTGCCACCCTTCTATTTGGGGTATCCCCTGAAAGGATGCTGCCGCTCAGTCGAGTAGGCTGCGCAGTGATGGGCGGAGCCATGGTTGTGGCTGCGGGGAGCTAGTGGTTATGCTGAGGGCTTGCTAGCTCTTGGCTTGCGCTACACCGCCGACCCCTTGGGAGCCCCGGGTGCCTCTCTGTCGGGGGGCCTTGTCGTGTAAACGTTTTGGTGGCGCATGCCCATCTGGGAAACCGAGGACTGCTCAAAGGGGCCTACTGGGTCGTTCTGGGGCCTTCTTGCGGGGCCTCTGGGGGTTCCTCATGGGGGTCTTAGGCAGTCTTGGGGCCCTCTTGGGCCCTCCTGTGGGCCTCTTGGGTCGTCTTGGGGCGCTCTTTCGGGCCTCCCGGTCTGCCTCAAACACCCTCAAGATCGAAACGGAGAGCGTGTCAAACATATCGAAGACATGAGTTTTTTTTTTTTTTTTTTTTTTTTTTTTTTTTTTTTTTTTTTTTTTTTTTTTCCCCCAACCATCCTGTGGTGTTGGGTCCTCGTTTTGAAGAGACGGTGCCCCGCGTTCCCCTCCTTCCTCCTCCTCCTCCCTCCCCCTCCTTGCCTCTGCTCTCGGCACAGGCTTCTCGGTCCTCTCCGCTAGCCCCATAGGGAGCTCCACCGAAGGCCCCAGTGGGGGTGTTCGCATGCGGTTCCCCCACCCAGGGCAGCGTTTCGTGGCCCCATAGGGAGCTCCACCGAAGGCCCCAGTGGGGGTGTTCGCATGCGGTTCCCCCCCAGGGCAGCGTTTCGTGGCCCCATAGGGAGCTCCACCGAAGGCCCCAGTGGGGGTGTTCGCATGCGGTTCCCCCACCCAGGGCAGCGTTTCGTAGCCCCATAGGGAGCTCCACCGAAGGCCCCAGTGGGGGTGTTCGCATGCGGTTCCCCCACCCAGGGCAGCGTTTCGTGGCCCCATAGGGAGCTCCACCGAAGGCCCCAGTGGGGGTGTTCGCATGCGGTTCCCCCACCCAGGGCAGCGTTTCGTAGCCCCATAGGGAGCTCCACCGAAGGCCCCAGTGGGGGTGTTCGCATGCGGTTCCCCCACCCAGGGCAGCGTTTCGTAGCCCCATAGGGAGCTCCACCGAAGGCCCCAGTGGGGGTGTTCGCATGCGGTTCCCCCACCCAGGGCAGCGCTTCGTGGCCCCATAGGGAGCTCCACCGAAGGCCCCAGTGGGGGTGTTCGCATGCGGTTCCCCCACCCAGGGCAGCGTTTCGTAGCCCCATAGGGAGCTCCACCGAAGGCCCCAGTGGGGGTGTTCGCATGCGGTTCCCCCACCCAGGGCAGCGTTTCGTGGCCCCATAGGGAGCTCCACCGAAGGCCCCAGTGGGGGTGTTCGCATGCGGTTCCCCCACCCAGGGCAGCGTTTCGTAGCCCCATAGGGAGCTCCACCGAAGGCCCCAGTGGGGGTGTTCGCATGCGGTTCCCCCACCCAGGGCAGCGTTTCGTGGCCCCATAGGGAGCTCCACCGAAGGCCCCAGTGGGGGTGTTCGCATGCGGTTCCCCCACCCAGGGCAGCGTTTCGTGGCCCCATAGGGAGCTCCACCGAAGGCCCCAGTGGGGGTGTTCGCATGCGGTTCCCCCACCCAGGGCAGCGCTTCGTAGCCCCATAGGGAGCTCCACCGAAGGCCCCAGTGGGGGTGTTCGCATGCGGTTCCCCCACCCAGGGCAGCGTTTCGTAGCCCCATAGGGAGCTCCACCGAAGGCCCAGTGGGGGTGTTCGCATGCGGTTCCCCCACCCAGGGCAGCGTTTCGTGGCCCCATAGGGAGCTCCACCGAAGGCCCCAGTGGGGGTGTTCGCATGCGGTTCCCCCACCCAGGGCAGCGTTTCGTAGCCCCATAGGGAGCTCCACCGAAGGCCCCAGTGGGGGTGTTCGCATGCGGTTCCCCCACCCAGGGCAGCGTTTCGTGGCCCCATAGGGAGCTCCACCGAAGGCCCCAGTGGGGGTGTTCGCATGCGGTTCCCCCACCCAGGGCAGCGTTTCGTGGCCCCATAGGGAGCTCCACCGAAGGCCCCAGTGGGGGTGTTCCCCCACCCAGGGCAGCGTTTCGTAGCCCCATAGGGAGCTCCACCGAAGGCCCCAGTGGGGGTGTTCGCATGCGGTTCCCCCACCCAGGGCAGCGTTTCGTGGCCCCATAGGGAGCTCCACCGAAGGCCCCAGTGGGGGTGTTCGCATGCGGTTCCCCCACCCAGGGCAGCGTTTCGTGCCCCATAGGGAGCTCCACCGAAGGCCCCAGTGGGGGTGTTCGCATGCGGTTCCCCCACCCAGGGCAGCGTTTCGTAGCCCCATAGGGAGCTCCACCGAAGGCCCCAGTGGGGTGTTCGCATGCGGTTCCCCCACCACAGGGCAGCGTTTCGTGGCCCCATAGGGAGCTCCACCGAAGGCCCCAGTGGCGCAGTTCGCATGCGGTTCCCCCACCCAGGGCAGCGGTTCGTAGCCCCATAGGGAGCTCCACCGAAGGCCCCATCGCATGCGGTTCCCCCAAGGCAGCGCTTCGTGGCCCCATATAAGCGGCACCCACAACGCGTTACCAACAATTGCTTATGGTTGGGTCTTTCGCCAGGATTTTTTTTTTTGTTTTTTGTTTTTTTTGTGTTTTTGTTTTTTGTTTGTTTGTTTTGTTATCATTTTTTGTTTTTTTTTTGGGGGGGGGTCTCTTCGGGGCCCTCTTGGGGCCGACTTGGGGCGCTTTGGTAGCGTCGTGGACCGTGCTGGGCCCATCTTGGGTCGTCGTGAGTCCGTCTTGGGCTGTCTCGCAATCCTCATGGACCGTTTTGGAACGACCTGGGGCATTTGTGGCGCGTCTTGGGGATTTCCTGGGGCAGAGCGGCCCGCAGGGCCCGCCGGGGGGCCGCCGGCGCCGTGATTAAAAACAAGAGCTGCTTCGCCGGATGCGCGAGCGGGAGCAGAAGTCAATGCATCCCTCCGCACCACCAGGCTTCTGTCCGTCTAACTCGCCTTGCCTGCGCCTGCACTGTCTGCTGCTCTTCTTTCTTGACTTGCGTTTCCGCAGCTATACGCATACTTGGCTGTAGGGAAACGGAAAAGGAGCGAGCCTGCGGCGTGCGTCGGGCGGTGGGCTGGCCTCTTCCCTTCAGTGTTACCTTAGTGTATGTGTTGACGGCATTATCCCTTCTTGCCCAAGTCATCTGCGGAGTCCACTGATCATGAGACGTCATCGAGACATCTTGCAGGGACTATGAATGTCCAGGCAAAAGACTGGCTTTCAACCGAAGCGACGGCGCAGCCGTTCGCTTCGCGGAGCATGGGATCTCAAGAAGGAGCGCTCGGGAGAACAGAAGATCGAATATTTTCCGAGCGTGACACAAGTATAAGCACCGCAGTGAGGCGACACAGCTCTCCTATTCTCCCCGGTAAGAAAGCATCAGAGACCATGTTCGCCTTGACAGAAGGGGATTCATCGGTTGATTCAGAGAGAAGATCCAGAGTGTTACACTCGGGCGGAAGGTATGGCGCAGCCAGAACTTCTACCGAGGGACCCTTTGAGTTGGTGTTGGCGCACTCCGGCTTTCAGACATCGATAGACATAGATCTCGAAATGGAAAAATGCTGGATCACGCTCCCATGGAAGCATCAGGCGTTGAACGTCTGGGCGCCGAGCGTACGATCCAGTATACGTTGTGCGGACAGAGTGAGGATGTGAACGATGTACAATCTGACGGGGGCAGTTCCCATTCGCCAGAAAAGAATGAGGAATCTGCTCTATTTCAAACCTCGCCTGGTCCGTCACGTCATCTTGAACCTCTTCTTGATCTGTGTAGCGATCTTGTTTCTGACCGAATAATCATTGAAGCAAGTCAGAAAGCCATTCTCGATGCAGACGATGGCTGTAAGGATGGAGAAAGCCTGATTCAAGATGAATGCTCATCGGCACAGCCGATAATGAGCTCCCCCGACGCAGTGCGCGCGGTGAGAGGTACGCGAGATATCACAGGGACGATTTCTCATCCGCTGACGAAGAAACCAACAAGTGAGAATGACGACTTGAATGTTTCGCCTTTCTCGCAGGTTTTTCACAGACCAGACCTCTCATTGCCTAGAACAAGCAGAGATAGAGGTCCAGAGCTCGATGAGCTTGTCGTTCAGGACGAACGAGATGAGTTGGCAAGAAACGTGGACGTTGATGCGTTCAAGAGGGGCGCACGGGCAAGAGAAAAACGCGCGCCTACCCGGCATTGCGAGGGGGGGGCGTTCCAGTAAGGCCCCCAGGG